TTTGTTTTGTGGAGTAGAGCTAGATCAAGTGGAAGAAATATCTTACTTGGGCATTACTTTCACTAGTAAATTAAAATGGAATCACCATGTCTCTTCGGTGACAAGTAAAGCAACAAAAGTTCTTGGTGTGATGCGACGTAATCTGTGGAATTGCCCCACGAAAGTGAGAGAAACAGCATACAAATCCATTGTACGACCCAAGCTAGAATATGCATCAACAGCCTGGGATCCTTACACTAACAAGGACAAAGTGGCTTTGGAAAGAGTGCAGAGAAAAGCAGCGCGTTTCTGTTCCAAGAACTACAATCCTATGTCAAGTGTCACTGATATGACTGAAGATCTAAATTGGGAAAGTTTAGAAGTTAGAAGAAAGAAAGCTAGATTGACATTGTTGTACAAACTCTCTCGGAATCTTGTAGACGTTGAAACAAATAATTACTTGCTGGTAAATAATGAGACCAGGACTCGTGGGAGTCATAGCTTTAAATATAGAGTCCCAAAAACTACCAAAGATGTTTTTAAATTTTCCTTTTTTCCTCGCACTATTAGGGAATGGAATTTACTTCCCGAAGAAATTGTGAGCTCAGAGAACCTCCTCCAGTTTAGAAACAATTTAAACAATTCTTTTTAATAACTGTAAATATTGTTGTAAATATAGATTTTTAGAATAGGTATAGTTATAAATAGTTGGTGTGATATTCGAAAGGATTTTACCGACTCAATAAATATAGATGTAGATGTAGATAGATAGCGCACGACCTTTCCCAATGTGCATCAGTATGATAATAGCAAAATAAAATGGCCGAAACGAGAAGCCCCAAACATATCAATTTATTCGATTATAGGCAATTGCCCTTGTTTTCTTCGGCGGTTTTATACGATACGGCAAGCAAAGAAAAAAAATTTAAATTTTGCGATGCTAAAGGTCTAAAGGGGTCATTGCGCAAAGAAAAATCCATGATTGTAATCATTGATTGTATATATAATCTCGAGTTACGGTCGGTGCCGGACACTGCCAGTGTAGTATAACATGTATGTATTATTTTGATTTTCCCGAATTGATAACTTAGGCAATGTTCAGTAGATAAATAAATGCTGTATGTAAATACCTTACATGAGTAAGGCGTCCTTTCGCTGAAAAGGAATCTTTTGATTACATTTATGTAAATCCAATGCTTTCAGAACGTCAGACATAGACTTTACATGTTCATATTCCCAAATTAATCCCGCCATCAACAAAACCGGAAGTAAAATTCTAGCGCTTTCTTGCCCCAGGGGAATAGGCACAGGCCACGTCTGTTTATATTTTCAAATAGCGTGGTTCCTAAGCTTTATTTTGATACTAAACATGGCCGAGTTACTCGAAGGATTCATTCTTAAAATTGGCCTTGTTTATCTGCAATTTCGTTTTGCCGTGAAAATTATCGCCATGAAAATTTGCTGTCGCAGCTTCAAAAATTTGCAGCGTTCATTATAAAAATGGAACAAGTGAACCAACGAGTATCTCTCCCAAATTTTTTGTGGATATAGTATGGTGTGTGTTGTAAATGACCCGAGATGTGCAAATGTTGCCAAGAACGTAAGAACCATGCACGGCGGCACGAAAACATCGCTAAGTGGGCAAATTAAGACAAAATGATATAGTTTCTACTAGCCAAAGTATCGCTGAAAGCAGTTTTAAAATGGGAACATACAAAACGTGAGATATGGATAAAATAATTGTAGCATTTAAGTACGACGGCTCTTCCGAAGCAAACTCAAGATGTGCAAACTCGTTATAGAGGATACCAATAGCTATATTTTTAATTTTTTGTTTACACTCCTAAAATTTCTATTACCGCGTGGCGGCCATGTTTGATTGTATAGTCCGAGCATGCTCAGTAGCAATGTCTGCAATTTCTGGCCATGAATAGTTTGTTTGAAAGAGAAAAGAACAGGCTTTGAAGTAAGCCTAAAAGCATTTAACTAGAAATGGTATTTCAAAAGTTATAAAGCACAAAAGATGAATTGCGTTTATTTTGATACACCCTGTATATGTGTGTGTGTATATATGTATGTATATGTGTATATGTATATATGTATATGTGTATATGTATATATACTTGTCAAACATAGTATAATAGTATTCTGAGAATTTATATATAGATATAGACGAATGTGGTTTGATGTTTGTGTGATGTTACTCTGAGTGTATATCCACACCGGGCAGGCTTGAAAAATATGCCTGGCCACGGCGGGATTCGAACCTACGACCTTTGGAATACTAGCCTTTGGAATGTGGTTTGGTTAAAAAAAAACACAAAATGCCAAAGAGTGCTCAATATCATATAGATAGAGCAGAAATAATCGTAGCAGAAAAGGTTGCCACATGCAACAAGAGGAATCATCAGGTGACTCTTGGATAAAACAGACTGTTGTGGCAACCTTTCAAGGTAAAAGGATATAGATATATGTTGCTCATCATTAATATTAGCTTAATTCTTAAATTATTATTTGGCTGGAGGTAAGTGCATACTGGTAATCATACAAGTACACTTTTTAACTCATTAAATTTGTACTATTAACAGGTCTTCCATTTGACATCCAAAGCTCACCAGTGGAACCTCCACAGAAAAAGCAAAAACCGCCAAAAAATACAGCAACTAATGGTAAGCAAGTTCTTGATCCACAATGCCAATGTATTAATTACCACAATGTCAATGTCAATGGCCGTATTTATTTTCAAAATCAACTTTACCCGATTTCACAGGTGAAGTATATACCTAGATCTTTTTCTATAAATACTAATAGTGGCTGTTATAATTTTAGGGGAGTCGTCTCAAAGAAACAAAATCTGCAGCCCAAATGACGGAAAGAAGAACGTTTGCAGGGTTTGCAAAAGCAAGAAAAAGAAGAGTACCGGTATGATTAGATGCAGAAAATGCGACCAGTGGCTTCATTGTAAATGTGTTGGTATAACATGGAGTGATGCCTTAAAACAATGCTCTGACTTTTGCTGTGATATTTGCAGGTGAAGGCCTGTAAAATAATTTTCATATAGACATCAGAAACCCGCCCTTACTAGTATAGTTTTACACTTTGTTGTTCACATTGTTTTTTTACGTGTTGTAGCATTTTACCTTGTATTATTTTATATAGAATTGACTTTGTAGCGTTTTGTAGTGTGCTACAGAAATACTACGGCAATATACCTTGAACTTTTAAACAGTGTGTTTTTATTGTAGCGTTTTGTTGCATTATTTTATATAGAATTCACTTTGTAGCGTTTTGTAGTGTGCTACAGAAATACTACGGCAATATACCTTAATGCACTTTTAAACAGTTTGGTTTTTATTGTAGCGTTTTGTAGCATTATTTTTATATAGAATTCACTTTGTAGCGTGTGTAGTGTGCTACAGAAACACTACGGCAATATCTGAATACTTTTAACTGAGTTAAACAGTTTGTTTTTTATTGTAGAGTTTTGTAGCATTATTTTTATATAGAATTCACTTTGTAGCGTTTTGTAGTGTGCTACAGAAACACTGCGGCAATATCTGCTGACTTAATTGTAGCATTATTTTTATATAGAATTCACTTTGTAGCATTTTGTAGTGTGCTACATAAACACTGCGGCAATATCTGCTGACTTAATTGTAGCATTATTTTTATATAGAATTCACTTTGTAGCGTTTTGTAGTGTGCTATAGAAACACTACGGCAATATCTGAATCCTAAACCTTGCCTCATATGATTTTTCACGCGCGAAGACATAACAGCAGAAGCCTAACACATGCTGCGTGTAGAAACTCGACAAGCAACGGAAGTAAAAGATCGGCAAAAGGACCAAGACCAACATTTGTATGTTTAGTAGATAGCACATCATCAAAGGCACCGTCGTCGATAAACAAATTTTACACACGTCATCAAAGGCACCGTCGTCGATAAACAAATTTTACACAAAGCTGAGCTCAGTGTGAAAAAAATAAAATTAGATTTGGAAGACAATGAATAAATTGACAATTGACAAAATAACTTCGGACACCAATGACACATTGGGAAATCCATTGGGATTTCCACAACTGAAAACCATTGGGAGATTTGAAATGTTGTGCTGTACCCCAAACTGCCGTGACCTAACCAAAATTGATAGTTGTTGGAGTGCAAGAGATTTACGCTCAACCATGGATGGCGGTCAAGGTAAAATTTATCTGCGACCTATACAAAGGTCTTTGTCAATGAAGCCTCTGGTGCAGCAAAGCCATTTTGGTGTAAAAGAGAAGTGCCATATGTGTGATTAAGAAATCCTAGTTTGCAGCCTTTGTGACCACTTGTATATGTGCACAGTGGGTCTGGATTCAAACGATGAAGATGGATCCGAAAATATTACGATCACTGCAACAATTGTCTCTAGTACACCATCCACCTCAACGATTTCTGCCTCTCAAGTGTGAATTCTGATGGTCTACCTGCGACAATTACTGCTGAAGCCCCACCAGACCCCATAGTTCCGTTGGTTGACCTTGCAGAAATGTGCCCTTTTTGGCAAGAATACTTCAAGTAAAATCATATTTAAGTAAGTAGGATATTCCAAAATCACTGTTATATCTATTTTCATAAATTTTGTTTTAAAATGACAAGCCATTTCAGACATGTTGTGGTTTGAAATAAGCGTATTGAATTAATGCGCTTGCTTGCCGCATGCAAATTCTCAAAAAGTCTGCACTTGATTTCTAAATTTAGCTTTTAAAATGCTTTTTGTATTCAGTTTTATATCCCCACAAAACTTTAAATCGATAAGGCAGATAGTAATGTTGATGCAACCTCATTTTCTAGTAACTACATGTTGAATCAGAAAGGAAACGTTATCAAAATAGGTTGCGACGGTTGTTTGCAAACTGTCGCTTTTATCTGAAATTGGCTTCCTTTGCGGGAAGCCATAAAATTGAAGTCCTAACAAGAACATAATTTAGCCGTCCTTTTGGGCCCATTGCTCACTTATTTATCAAGAAATCGCTTCACTAGAACATTTTTAATAATGTCTATGGGAAACTTTGTAATCTTCTCAACTAAAAGTATATGGTTTTGAGGTGTTTATTTTATAAGATAGCACGCGCGACAAAATGGCACTAATTGATTTCTCATGTCTGACAAACAACCAAAAATGAAAGTCCTTATTTCACCCTTTTATAGCTATGTTGAATACCTGAATACTAGAAAATACATGCATGTAGAAACCCTCGCCTTGCTGACAAAACCATTGTATTTTCTGAACATGAAGTATCCAAAGTTGTTGTCATGGTAACACGATAATTTTTTAAGAATATTCTTACAAATGAAAAATCGCCTAAAAATATCACTTAATTACAAAATTATCAATTTCCCAACATATATAGTTAGGTATGTTATTATACGTAATATAAGCTTCAATTTAAAGTAAAATTCAAACACAAAAGCTTCGCAAAACGTTTTAAAATGTTCTTTATAAAACTATTAAAACTGCCTTTAATTATTAAAATGGCTTTATCGATAAACTTTGAGTTCGCAGTAACATGATTTCAAATTCTGACATTGAAATTATATGCTGTCTTGTTTAGTTGTTTCATATACGCAAAGCCAAAGGGCCAAAGCGGCTGTCGGGTTTTAAAGCAATTATAAAATCAATATTTAAAACAAACTTACCTTTGTTGACGTTGGCTCCCTTCTTTTAGCCGATTCTTTCGCCCTTTCTTTCTTGAAATTTACAAAATCTTGCAAAAATGCAAGCAAAAATTAAATATATTTGCAAGAAATTTATCAATCATCAAATCAAGAAATGTTTGCTATTTCGTTGTCGTCATACAGTCGACAGTCGTTATAATGCAAACTTTAAATTGGATCAATCAGTGTCCGCTATTCATGACAGTCCGCCATATTTTTGAGATCAGTGAGGATGACCACCCACCACCCACCGAACCACTCACGGTAACCCACGCCCGCGCTCATTGAAGAACTTTAGACTTGGCTAATGCTTTCGTTTCCCCGGGTGTAAATAGCCGGGGGGAATTAGTACCCTCGCACAGCGCTTCGCGCCGTCGGCTCGGGGAAAAGCTAAATGTCCATTTATCTCACGTTCTACAGTGAATTGGATGGACGGCTCAATAGAATTTAAATGTTGCAGCAGAATATCGATCTCATTTGTTGAAACCGCAGAGATGACATCATCGGCGAAACGTTTCCAAAACGATAGGGACACCGGAACAGAGGCTAAAGCTCTTTGTTCGACATCTTCCATTACTAAATTAGCAATTACTGCCGAAACTGGTAACCCCATCGCTGTTCCAAAAACCTGTTGATAGTAACAGCCCTCAAACACAAAGTATGTGGCGTTGAGACAAATAGACAGAAGATCAATAATATTGTTACGAAAGTATTAAAAATAGTATAAAAATAGTTCAATTTGCACCCCAGGTAATTATAGATACTAGTTACGTCAAATGGAGAGATAATGAGCATTTTTGCTGTAAAACGCAGATAAAGTATATATCATTTCGGACTTGCGTAAAAGTGTCAATTATCTGTCCATTAGGCAAGATAAATAATTTGTCAATTTGTCAAAGTTGGACGATAACCTTGCATGGTGGGCTGTTGTGTTTACATAATTCAAAGTCCAAGGCTGGTTCTTCTTTGACATGGAAAATGTGCATGCTTAGGGCATTTCTGTCAATCATTCTTCGGTATATTTCGCGCGGTTGAGTAATGATAACATTACGTCATCAAAATCTTGGTTCAATAAAATTGTAAGTGAATTTAGTTTAGTAGGTAAAGTAAGGTTCACATAGGTATAGTTTGAAGTTTTTACTATGATATTTTGATAAGTATTTTAAGTTGTGAACCTGTTTTGTCATTGATTGATTGAACAGCGAACCAACTCGACCAGTGCGACAACGCCTTAAATAAACAGAATTTGAGGGCTGGAACGAGCTACCAACGCCAACCCACACTTTTAAAACTCAACGTTGATTGGCTGGATACAAATCACACCACTTGCTACATCACGTGTACAAAGATCCCTCAACCGTTAGTATAAAAGGGCGTGCACAACCCAAATTCTCAGTGGATGATCATTCAGTGGATGATCATTCAGTGGATGATCATTCAGTGGATGATCATTCAGTGGATGATCATTCAGTGGATGATCATTCAGTGGATGATCATTCAGTGGATGATCATTCAGTGGATGATCTCCCAGTGGACCCTCAGTGGATGATCATTCAGTGGATGATCATTCAGTGGATGATCTCCCAGTGGACCCTCAGTGGATGATCATTCAGTGGATGATCATTCAGCAGTGCCTTTTTTAAGGAATT